TTTTTTTTTTTACATCAATGCAAATTTAATATTATTGTGCAATGTATTTGTATTAATCTTATCAAATTATTGCAAAATATCATGTTCATGTCCTAGATTCAGATTCAGAGTTTGTTTTGCATCTAGAATACCTGGTGATACTGTGCTTGGATTCCTATCAGTCTGGCAGTTTCATACCTGGAGAAGGTGAGCATTGCACTGAATGATGAGCTTTCAAATCTTCTTCAAAGTCAAGGAAAAAATCTTCAAATTCACGCTCATCTGTGGGGGAGAAAATACCCAGACTTGATACTGCAATTTTCAGGTAAACTTCTTTTAGTACAAATTGCAAAAATGTCTGTGGTATTTAAGGCCTGGTCTTGTCCCTTTGTCTGGCAAACTGTGAGCAGAAGCAGACATATGCCTACTTAGTTTTGAATTACCATACTCAGGATTATTTAAAAGTTGGCACCATCACTTCTCTGAAAATAATCATTTACAGGTACATTCTCCGTTATGTAATTTGCAGTGTGACGACTGCCTAGGAAGAGTTTAAAATAGGAATTTTGCTGTTGTGCCAGGCTACTAAGAATTAACCCAAGTTTTTCTGTGTTTCTTATGTCATTGCGCTACCATATATTCTTGGCTCTATTCTTGCTGGGGCTAGCCCTGAACTCTGAAGCTTACTGGTTTGCAGGAGCACAGATAGCACAGAAAGCAACAGGATAGTAAAATATGTATGTGTGGATCTATGTAACAGGTCAAGTAACAGACCTTGTGCTGAAGGGGAAGGAAAATACAGTAGTCTTCTGTCCTGGAGAGCAGATGCACTCTCTGGTGCCCAGGAATTGCCATGAAAAAATATCAGCAGCTATGCCAAGGTAGCCACATAAGCTCTGTGACTCATCCTGAAGCATGTGGACAGCAGGAGAGCCAAGGATGAGTTGCTAGTTCCAAGCCTGGCAAGAAACTGGATCTTTGCTGGCCTGGTCTTGTATGGGGTTACATATCAGCACCACTTCCCTGTCTCTAAACTCAAGGGAAGATTTTACTTCCCACATTATTATAGTTATTATTTGGACAGAAAGATGAGTGAGTGAGATTTTTGAAAGGCAGACCTGAAAAAATGAGTTTGCTAAGCATAGGAATGCTTAAATGACATATTATTGGGCAAGAGAGAGGGAGAGGCTGTCTCTGTAACTGTAAAAGAGTACTGGAATTGTTTAACATCCCAGACTGCACATAGCCTTCAGGTATATTTAAAAGCCAAACATGCTGATTACCTTGAATCTGTAACAACCCAGCATCCTTCCTGTGAAAATCATCAATGCTGCTATTCTCATCTTTGTTCCATTGGCTGGAGATTTTGTAGTGGCTCTCACAAGCTCCAAAGGCACAGCACTGATAAGCATAAGGCATTTCCATGACCCTGTAGAAGAATAAGGAAGCATGCCGTGATACTGGTTTAGCACCAGAGTTACTGGATTGAACTGCTTCTCTACTGTTAGCAGAAAGGAACTTGTTTAAATAGCCATGACTGAAAGTAAAAATATCGGTGGGTAAACATCAGCCATGATAATACAAAACGAGGATTCATAAATAAAATTCCACATCAGAAATGCAGATGATTTCTAGGCTAATTTTAGTAAAGGCACAATTAAGTTTTCTTACACATTTTCATGGGAGATATGAAAGTGAGAAGTATGTGCCTTGCAGTGGAGTGAATGTTATTCTTAGAGCTGTGTTTCTATTTTACGATTTTGAATGATTTTACAGTGTAACTCAACAATTTCTCCATGTTACTTTCTTAAAGGTTTCTTTTAAAAGAGCAGATCCAAAGATCACAACTACATCTACCTGCCTAACAGGCAAAACCAAAACATCACTTCCCAAATGGAATTTTCTCCAGTTTGAGGAGAATGAGAATTTTTGGAATTCAAACTTTATCCACCTCTTTCCATAACCAACTCTTTTAACAGTAAGATGGCAAAAACGACATTGTCTTCTGTACACAGATAGAGAAAGCAGTGTTCTAAACCAAAAGGTGAATGAATCAGAAAGGCGTTGTGTGTGAAAACAGATGCCACTGAAGAAAAGCTTTTACTTTATTAATTGTCTTAGAAATGAGCACGCTCATTGCAGGACAGTGGATGCTCATTCCTAACTCTTTTAGGATCATTGCTATTCCTAATACATAACTGAGTATAGGTCAGTGAGCTTCAATGATTCTGAGGGTTTCTTTTGTCAGAAAATTGCTCATTTCCTTTATTTTTTGGATTTAATTCCTTTGTGCAAATTCTAGGGTAGCATGGAAGAACTACATATATTCAAGTTCTGTAGACTGCTTCTTCTATTCCTTAGACATATTTTATGCTTTGAAAGCAGAGATATTTAATTTGCACAGTTCACTAATAGTACAGAGTAAAACCTAACAACTCGCCTTGGTTCCAAAAGCACAATAAACCAAAAGATTCAAAGATAAAGAGGTGATTAGAAGTTATTCTGACTTAACTTAAAAGGAATAAAATAGAACTATATCCTCCTATCAGATTACTTTTGAGAGGTTAATCATGTGAATTAGCATAATGAACATTCCAAGCAACCTCCAACCCCCTGGGAAATCTGCAAAGAAATCAGTCTGAATCAGACCCAGTGCCAACAGGATTTAAAACTTATGCACTAGCCAAAAGCTCGGTACAAAGGGGAACAAATGGAACCCTAAGCTCTAAAGTGATTTTTAAATTAGTGCCTTTTGGGGCACTTAGATTCTACATGAGCAACAATAATCCGTACCCTTGTACCCAATACAAAAAGCTACATAAACTATTTTTGAGGTACTCCAATAAAAGTTCAAGGTAACCAAGCTCTAACTATCAAGCAACCTCATGCCAACAGATTCAAGAATTTAATTTCTAACTCATTTCTGTGCATGCCATCTTTTAAAATGAGATTATATCGATTAAACATTTGTGAACACATTTCCCAGAAGCCCTTCTTACATAAACTATTACTAAATCCATTGATTACTGGATTTACCCATAGCTAGTCACCTGGGCTAAAAACAATCCCAATCCCAAACTAGAAATACCCCTTTTCTGAAAAAAACCCACACAAACAACAACAAAAAACTTATCAAAAGAAACACAGAGAGTTCTGCAAGGTGATCACTGCAATTTGTGACTTCAGACCTTTTTGAAGGCATTGATACAGCTGGGGGAATGAACAGCTAGTGGATATTATAGGCTCAAGGGACTAACAAAAATGTGTTCTCTGGTTATTCAGACACCTCTGTGCTTAATAATGACAGATTTCCAGATGCTGTTGGACTTCTACCAGCCTGCTGAGAAACGTGGACCTCTCGCATTGTGCTGGTCTACTGCTTCAATGAAGTAGCCAAAAAACTCCACTGCTTTTAAATTAACTTTAAAGAGCAAGACTCCAATTTCTTATCCTCTTTGTAGGTCTTTGTAGTATCCTTTTTTAAACCTGAACAGTTTTTTGTTGTTGCTGTTGTTTTTTTCTTTCTTTTGGTTACTAGGATATACAGAAGCCTCTATATATATTCAGAAGCCTCAAATTGCTTCTGAATCCGTGTGCAAAGCGTAATTGCACAGAATGAGTGGGACCCAGAATACAGAGGACAAAACATACTTTGCAATGCAGAGAAATTAGTATCAGCTCTTCTTGGTGATGGAGGAATCTCTTTTTTTTGTAAAAACTACTTAAAAAAACAAAAAGAAAGGCAGGAACTCTCAGCCATACAGTGCCAGAAGCAGTCTTTTTTACGGCTCGTGCTTATTTGATGTGATTAGATTTGGACTTTGTCAAATTAAACTCTTTTAGAAACACTGGCTAAATTTATTTTTATATACCGCTTATCTTACTGATGATATCTGTATCCTTCATAATTTTTTTCCTGCAGCAAGGAATGCCTTTTTTCTTCTGGTTTTGGATTAAGCAGCACAGAACACAAGGTCATTTTCCACCTCACAAAGGTGTGGGGTTGGGGTTGACAGTGAACGGGAAGGCATGGTTATGATGGATGGAGCAAATCACTGAGTTCTTTACAGCACTGAATCAAAGCATCAGATAAAGAAGGAGCGGCTGACAGCCTGACTTTACTTCCTTGTAGCTTGCCATAGCAGGCTGGGCTCTGCTCCGTAAAGCTTTCTCGTGCCATTCCTGAAGGTGGGGCAGAGGATGCTCAGCTCTTTGATGTGTCTGTGTATTGAACAGCAATGACCCATTTAGATGAGCAGGAAGCTTTTATACAGGAATTTGTCTTTAATGTTGTAACCAGTGTCTGGTTCCAACAATTACAAAGGGTGAAATTTCATTTTGTTTTAGATCTCTGTTCAAGTTTGGTGCTTCATGCATTGTCTGTGTAGTGATCCTGTGTGAAGTCTTGGCCTCATTTTGATTCATGGTAAAAGTCCTGCAGACTCCAGGGCAGGATTTTACCCCATTCCCTCCTGACTGGATGTAATTTGTTCTTACAGATGTTAATCAGCTCTAGATATATTATACTTTTTGTACCTTTTTTAAAGACTTAAACTACTGCCTGACACATCCTTGTATATTTTGTCTGGCTGAGATGGAGTTAATCTTCCCCATAGCACCCCTCATAGTGCTGTGCTTTGTACTGATAGCTAGAAAGGTGCTGATAACACATCAGTGTTTTGGCTACTGCTGAGCAGTACTCACACTCCATCAAGGCTGTCTCTCCAACATTCAAGTCACTGCTCAACCTCCTCTGTGACAAACTACAAATATTTGGTTTATTAAGTCTTTTAAGGAATTGTTTCCTAACCTTGGAATCATTTTTTGCAGCTCTTATCTGTTTATATTAATATGCCATCATAGAAGTGTTCTAGTGTGGATCCCTCCAGTGCTGTATGCAGAGGTTTAATCATTTCCGCACTTCTACTCGTGACTCCCTTATTGGTAACTCCAAACACTCCAGTCCTTTTCATTAGCCGTAATGTCTCCTTGAGTAGTCTGCCTGCTAAGGCTCATGAGACTTTTCCAGTGCAAAAGGCAAATCTAGCGAGGACGTAAGGATGGAGTTTCCATCCTTGGAGATATTCAAAAGCTGTCTGGACGTGGTCCTGGGCAACCAGCTCCAGGTGACTCTGCTTGAACAGACGGGGGTTAGACAAGATAACCTCCAGAGGTCCTTTTCAACCTCAACCATTCTGTGATTCTGTAACTATGTACACACTGTTTAACTGTTTCAAATTTTATGATATCAAATATTTTACAGTAAAACATGGAAAAAATATATATTGCACTTGGCATCCTCTAACTAAAATATAAAAACCAAGGGAGAGTTAGGGTACACTCCCAAATACCCTGAAGTCAGAGGCAAAACTCTCTTTACTGTGATTTCTCTATGGTCATCTGGTGACTGGCAGGCTGCAAATGATCTCTAGAGAACATTTCCTTCCTGTATCACAGAGCATCAAGTAGAAAATTACTAGCATCAAAATGTTTTAATAATAATGGTAAAGAATTATCTGAATCTTAATCAAAAGATTACCAAAAAAAACATGTTCAAACAAAAGAAACCAAATATTTTTAAACTTCAGAAATGTACTCTTCCCTTGATATTTGCTGCATTCTCATTAAATATAATTGAAATTCTGTAAGCACAGTCCAGTAGAAGAAGGACATATCGCTAAGCTGCTAGCAATATTGTTTTAACAGCTTTTGAAACGTATCACCAGGAAGCAGATGTGGCTCATATTAAGCAAGTACTGGGGTTAATATTTCAAAACGTTTCATAGTTTCTTCAGTTAAAAGTGAGCGTAATAAAAGAAGTCTATCATTTTTATCATATTTGCTTTAGTTTCAATAGCACAGATCAAAGACTGACAATACGAAGTAACATGCGTTACACACTGACACACCTTCCATTGCACATGAACACAAATGTGGCTTATTAGTTTTAATGATATACTCACTTGAGCTCTGGAAAATTTTCAGATGATATCAAACTTTGTAGGGCATGATTTCCTGTTAATTTTAAATGAGTTAAACCATGTAGCCCCGTCACAGGAAAAGAAGACAAAAGGTTGGATGACACATCCCTGCATAACAGCAAATAAAAATCAGCTTATGGGCTTTCATTGTTTTTTCTTCAGCACTAGAACTGTCACATTGGAAAAACAGGTAAGACTTTTCTAACTCAATCAAAAATGACTGCATTAAACAGAGGCCCCAGTCAACAGAGCAAAGCTGCAGCACTGCTCAGGAGTATGCAGCTACGTGACTAGCAGAAAGCTAACAGTAATACCTAGCACTTAGCTAAGTGTCTGTTGCCAAATTTTGACTACAAATATTCATAGTGGCAGTCTTGAGACTAGCAAATTATTTTAAAACCTGTTCATTAGATTGTTTGAATTAAAAGGAGCCAGTACCAGAATAGCTTTCCACAGTTTGAAAGATTCAGTGCGATGCTAGAGAGCATGGCTGCCCTGAAAGCTCCACAGGGAGCAGGTCAGGTGTATGGGAAGATGTGTATTTCAGGGTAGGATGGGTCTGGGCTGGAGCAGATGAAGGTGACAGTTCTAAGCAGAGGTTTGTCTGAGGAGCTGAAGAAAGACAGCACAACATGGACACATAATGAGAAAAATAAAACCCATGAACGAAAAAGTGACTGTGATCAAGGAGAAATGGTAAAGTAATTAAAGAGGGGGAAGTCCAGAGGTATCCCATTCTCTATTTCTCCCTCTCTCCCATCTATTCTAGAAGTCTTTTTAGTCCTCTTCACAATTATCTACACTGCAATACTTAAGACCGTCAGCAGTCAAGGAGAAAAAAGGGGTCTGATGCTGCTGAAATGCTTTTATGCCCAAGGGTTAACAGCAGTTCCTGTCTCCTGGACTATCTACTGAAATCTAAGGGGCTAGATATAAAGTAAGACATATGTTGATGGTCTGGTCTTCTACCTATTCTGGTTTAGTGTGTTTGTGCGTGTGCATGTGTGTGTCTTCCTGCTCATAACATAGTTAAATGCAAAGAGTGAAATTTTAGTCCTACTGCAATAGCAAAAACAACCACTGACTGCAGTCAGACCAGGGTTGCAGACTAGCATTTCAGGAAACACTGGCACACTGTGTTGCTGTGTGTGTGTTAGAAGGCTTTTTCTTTAACCCTCCCTGACTGTTCTGTGCTATTGACCAAAGCTACAATTTATTGCTGGCAGCATAATGTTCCCTCACCCTTTCTTCTGTAGGAAAGTCATGAGGAGGGCCCCCAAAAAGGGATGTCATAGGCAATATTCTCTTTATGGGCATTTTTCAGTGCATCATTCAGAGGGGAGGCTTTGCACATCAACAGAAAGGAACACTCCTGTCCAAATGTAGATTTCCCAGCAGGTACTGGATTGTCTGTGAGCAGATGCCCATCAGCATATCTTGGTGACAGCCATGGAGCAGGAAGACTCCGGACAAATTTTCTTTCAAATCTTTCCCATACGCCCAATGTCTTGGGGATTCACCATAAAGAGGCATTACAACGAAAGTGGGAAACAGGAAAATGTTAGGATTGAGAAGTGCTTGTGAACAAGGCCTACAAAATTGGACTGCTGATGTTTTGACCACTAACTACTCTAGCTGAAGTTACTAAAGACGAAAAACTATTCTATCAAATAAGGAACAATGAAATAAAGATGCTTACTGAAAAATGTTTCTTATTTAATTTTGAATCCAACCCCTTAATCCTGATACAAAACAGGAAATATTCCCCAATGCTAAAAGAGACTAAACAGCTTATAAATTGAATGAAGAAAGGCAGATACACTGATATGCTTAATGGACCCCAAATCACTCTGATTACACAGTGTTACATCCAGCTTTGCCTTAATACCTATGGGAGTTGAACTACAAGAAAGCAGGCATTTAAATACAGATTCAACAGACCAGAAGATTAGAATAGAGAAACCCTCTGTTTCTGCTGAGTGGGCCACTGGGCCACTAAGATATTAATTCTTTTTGTATATTCTCGCAAGAAAAATGTGAAAAGTTGAATGTAGAAGATATACAAATACTTACAGTTTGATCAGAGATGGTAAAGAGGAGAAGGCATTGGGGTGAATAATTTTAATTTTGTTCCAAGCTAAATCCCTACAAGAAAAGTGAGTGGAAAATTACATACCCACTGAGTGAATACGGAAGTTTTCATACACTTGATTAGGAGGCCTAAATATAAAAAAGGTATTAATTACATGCAAATATTTTCAATAAGCTTCTGCATGTCTCATAGTGCAAAATCTTTTTTCAGTTTTTAAATTATGTTAGTCAGTTAATGATGTTAGTTATTAAACTGACAGTTTTCTCTAGAACTTCTTAATGCCTTCTGCAGCCTAACATAGTTATTTTCAGTCTGCTTCACAGCTTCCCAAGGCAGCAGAAAGAAGGGTGGGGTATATGGACTACTTCTGAGAGGTCCTCATGATGTGACTAAGAACAGCAAATCATTGTCAATAAGCTTAACTTCCTAATCTCAATCTTCACCGCCCCTGAAAAATAAAAAAGCTGAAAGGAACTCTTTAAAAAAATGTATGGGCTTGATCCTGCAAAGACTTACACCCATGAGTAATTTCTTGACAAAATTACTTTGCTAGGATACGCATCTGTGTGAAAACGATAAACCGACACACGACTAGAATCTATTTCTTAAGACATTGTTCTCTATAAAAAGATTTCATGCTCCCTAGAGCTGATTATTACATGAACCTGCCAACAGACACTAGCTCTGGCTCAGTATCTCTCTCAATAGAGAGAGTAGAATAGAATAGAATAGTCCAGTTGGAAGGGACCCACAACAATCATTTAGTCCAACTGCGAAACGTTTAGAAGTAACAGCTTTTACAGCTGGAAGTTTTCATCTTTGAATTAATTGCTGCAGATGCTAAACTTCACAATGTTTGTTCTGCTTTCACAGTTATGACCTATGAGTGAAAGATCAAAGAAAAACAGAAAGAAGTATGTTTTGAGGCAGATAACAAGCAGTGTATACCCCATGTTTTTGAGAACCCAGATGAATGGCTGTTAAGGCTGTACTCACAGAGATCGAAGAGCAGCCAGCTGCCGAAATGTGTCTGCTTTGATTTCACCGATTTCATTGTGATGCAAGTCACTGAAATAGTAAAAAGAATCTCCTCAGTTTCAGAGGCACTTGGAGGATGCTTTGGGGTGTTTTAGACTGCATTTACGATCCACTTCAATATCGTGTAAGGGTATGTATTTGGGATATGTCAAATGGGCCAGCAATAACCAAGTTAATGACGCTCAAACAAATTTGTACACAGATGCCTCTTTTTAGACTTTTTAGGATAGTTTAACACTTACATTTTTTGGAGTTTCTTACATGCAGTAAAACAGGGTAAATCTTCCAGCAGATTATAAGACAGATCCCTGTAATATACAAGAAAAGAAAACATTAACATCAAAGTAACGTTAAAAGAAAAAGATCTTTCATTGTCTACTTTCACGCTCAATTTAAAATAACTTGTTTTTATCCACACTCAAAGAATAGAAATGTGCAAACTCAGTTACCATCTTTCATCTGCCAGATTTTGATTTCTAACTGAGGCGGAGAGAGGAGGGGAAAAGGCAAGATGTATTAACTCCATATACTATGTTTGCAAATTCCTTCCGTTGTCTGCAGATTTCCTGCCTTAATTGTAGACTTCTTCTGAGTGTTTTGCAATAACAATATTGGCCATCTGCTCATAGGGAATATTGGATTTGCATCACAGACTTCATATTCATCATGTTGAAATTCTGACAAATATTTAAACCATTTAAAATACTCTACTAAATACCTATATTCATATTTTTTCAGAGAAGATCCTGTATTTTTCTGGTAATAATCACAGTAGACTGTAATCAGCTTTCCTTTCTACACTTTTAATTAAGCAGTATTGCCTCTGATCCTTAGACTGTAACAACTGAGGGAAGAGGTTAAAAAAAATATTGGAACTAACTTTGAAATCAATCACTACATGGAGGAAAAAAACCTTAGAAAGACTCGAGCCAAAACTCAACAAATTACAGAACAACTGAAACATCTGGACTGATTTATAGTATAATATAACTAATCAAAACCAAGCCCAGGCAATTTGCAGAAATTGGAGGGGAAAAAAAAAAGGGAACCAAATACCCACCCCCACCACCCAACTGTCTCATCCTATGTACACATCTTGCTCAGGGAAAACTGAATGGGAAATTTGCTAGTGAAAAGAATATAGAAAAAAAGCTTATATCTATAATCAGGAAAAATGTCCTTTTCCACAGATACACCATATTATCACATAAAAGAGTAATCTCTTTTCACTTCTGTTTCAAATTCTTTAAAACTGGTTCGTCTCCACCCATTTACTTCCTTGGTAAAATTTTATTTTCACTGTTACTATTCCAATAGGGGCATTTAGAATTTTCTATATTTGATTTGTGGAAGTGGTGCAAGTAATGATCTTGTGTGTTTTTACGGTATTCCACTCTGTTTTTACTACACACAATGACTACTATCAATATAGGTATATTTTTCGTAATAGCAGGAAAGATTACAACCTCTGTTTTCATATTTTTCAAAGGTATTCCGTGGTCCAAATCAGAGAAGTCAAAGAAGAATTCAAGTCAGCTGGAAGCTTTTAGGCCAAGGTAAAAGATCTTTGACATGTCTGGTGGACTGTGGCTGTTCTGTCATGCATGGATTTGTGACTTAGGTCTTCTTAAAAGTATGTTATCAGCTTGAATTTTGTACGTACTGACACTCCCTCTTCACACATGGAAAAAAAAAAACAAAACCAAAACCAAAATCCTTCTGCTCTCAGATTCTGTTAGTGTTCCAGGAAATATTTCACTTGTTTATTTTTAAGGATTTTTTCCCACTTTGTTAGTACATGAGGCTCTTGGCAGTGGCAGAGGGCAAGTGGTTTTGGTTCCCATGTTGACCTGACTGTGCTGAGGGTAGTCTCTCGAGGACTGGTGGGACCATGTTCTCACATACACCTTTACTGCAGGTGCGCAGTCACCCAGGAGGCCTCCGTGTACATTAATCCACATTTGGAAGTGCTGGTGGCTAGGCAGGATGCACAAATTGTCTTTCAAAGCAGTGTTTGCACGTGCAGTGTTTGCGCTTGTAGTGTTTGTGCAGGTATCTGAGCCAGGAAGCCCCTTCAA